ACGTCTACTATTACCTGTGCCAAAAAATGTTACTCTAACTTTGAACTTTACCATAGACTTTACGGCCTAACTTAACCATAGGCTAGTATTGTACCTCCCAACTTTACCATAGCCTGTAATTTTACCTCTAAACGTTAACATATGCTGATATTTTACCTTATTTCTTCACCCTAGGTTGTTGATTTACCTAATAACTTTACCATAGGCTGTTATTTTACCGCCTGACTTTACCATAGTCTGCTGTTTTACCATCTAACTTTATAACAGACTGTTATCATACCTCCTAATAATAAGAATAAACTCACAGGGAGCAAGTACAGCGGGGATCTACAGTCATCAGTAGAAATTATCCTCTTTCGACACACGTTTCGGCCCACGATTCCTAAACGTATTCGGAGGTGGGCCCACCTGAGTTCATGAAGCTCAGGGCTGCTTCCCCGCTGCACAGAATTACCGAATTACTTGGCTCTCTGGATAGCCTCCCAAATCATGGTCGCGTGTTCAAGGCACCCAGGAACGCCTGGAATGCCACCCTTCTGAACACTCGTATCTATGTACTTGTTAGTCATCAGATACTGTGTGAGCTGGCGAGCCATGACTGAGAAGAATATCTTACCCTCGACATTCAACAACGAGATGGGCCTGAATTGGGAAAGACTCTTCGAGTCCTGCTCTTTGGGAATGTAGACCCCATTTGCCTTTGACCACTCTGGACATATGTGATTGCGGATCCACGCTTGTCTCAACAAGACGTGAAGCATTTTAAGGATTTTCGGGCAACGCTTGTAAAGAACGTACGGAACACCGTTCGGACCTGGGGCAGACTTGCCGCTGGCCTTTTTCACAACGTCCTCAACCTCAGACCAAAGGGGAGGTTACCAGTTTAAATGGTACCTTCGGCACCGAAGGCTGTTTGAGTCCGCTAAGGATCTCTGGATTGTCATCGAGAGGCTCTCTCCTCTTTTTATCCGAGTACATCTTGCGTAGATGTAGCTCTAGTTCTTCCTGACTGACAACCAGAGTACCCAGACTTCGGTTGCTCGAATAGACCTCGGGGCAAAACTGATACGGGTCCCTAAAGAATTTCTCTCGCTCCCTTTTGGTTCTCCGTCTGTTGTTACAGAAACGCTCGGCACGACAGAGGGCACTGTGTTTGTTCTTTAAATGCAACCAAACTTCGTACAGCCCCTCCCGTTCGCTGCCTGCCTTGCCTCCTGATAGGGATTCGCTTGGGACCCGGCGTGCCTTTTCTACCGT